CCCTGTATTTCCTTGGCACCTTGTTTCTCAATAATGTAGCCAGCTGGAATGTGCAAAAAGATTGGAGCCTTCATCTGGATTTCTTATTTGTCCTTTGGCTTAGGTGCAATTGATATGCGTCTTTCAAACACAGCACTAACACCCAAGTACTTTTTTTTAGTTCTTGGCAGCGAGCTTTTTGCAGATAAAAATTTTTTTGGCAAAGCGAGAATTTAGCAAGGACTCGCGACTCATGAACTACTGTTTTCTGGTACAACTGGCCTTAAATGTATCACAGGGCGAGTTCACGTGCAATTGTTCTTCGAGCTGCATGAGCGTAACGGAAACTGCTGTTACGTTCACAGATAGTCTACGAGGTCTTTCTTGATTGTTGAATAATTTTCATGCTTGGATCAAACAAATGCTTTCGGATAAGGTGCGTTTTGAAAGGTCTAATCGCGGTACTTCCTCCAGTCTTGTATTACTGATTTGCCTCGCCTGCTATGTCATCCCACACTTCAAGTTGCTCTGTTTTTCGGGCAACAGGATTGCCCATTTTTCGGAAGGCCCCTGCAACACTTTTTGAGCATGGTCAAAAAACTGTCAATTGGAGGTTGAGGCTCGTGAGAATGCACAAGCCAAACACTATAGCGCTACACGCAGCCTGGAATCTACAAATATTTCTCAGTCGGCAAGGGATTCTTTCCCCTTCTTTCTGTAAATATATGCCATATACCGAAATTACTGGGCCTTATTCCTGAAGTCTATGGCTAGTGGCTGGTTTGACCATCGTAAGCTACATAGTTACTGTGGCCACTGCAGAATGCTGCCATGTGCCTGCAAGCACGTATGATCACATCGAAAATAAGCCTCATGCTAATTATATTACAGACCCATCATTATCTACCAGTTTGTTTTGGTTCGAGAGAGCTCCAAAAATGAGAAGCCACCGGGTGCAACTATTGCCATCTAGCGTGTGCACCTCTTCACCACTTCAGCACTCAGAACTGTGACCCAGCACCCAGAACTTCCACGTGGTCGGCATCAAGAATTACTTTCGAACAAGAAACGGTGCTGCAGTGTCGCTAAACAGAATTTTCAAAGCGTGTGCCACGACCACGCACTCGCGACCAGTCGTCGAGAAGTACGAACTGCTGGAACAAATGCGGCAAAAGAAAAATGGCAGTTACGACATCATAATTTTAGTGACTGCAGTGTGGTGACGTGAGGGAAGTAGGGCGTCCCCAAATGGTCCCCATCCAGGATGTTAATGGCACAATGAAGTCAAGGGCTCGTGCAAGCTGTATTAACCTTCCAAGCTATATTAACTGTTGATATTTTGCAGATGATATACGAATGTTCACAGAAATCGGCTCTGCAGGCTATCTTGGTCAGGAAATTTTGTCAGTACCCCTTTAAAGGGACCCACAACTGATATTTATGGTACCCGTTCTCTTGAGTGCAATGAAAAGCTTACCTGTCAGAGCTTGTAATCGCGGAATGGTAAGGCGGAAAACACCGTAAGAACATCTATAATCAGAGAGTTTCAATTAGTGGTGATTATGCAGTCTTAAATAGACGTGGTGCAAACAGTGGATGGGATCGTGACAGCGATTATACACCAGTTTAACGCCAGCGTTGAGAAAAGTGAAGCCTAAGTACAAAGCGTAATATTGTATTTGTGAAGCCTGCAGTGCTGCAACCACTGCTTTCTAGTGTGCTAAATTACATTACAAGAGTTACAGCACTTTTCCGGGGCTTCTTGATCAAGTACTTCTGGCCATGCATGGGTAGTTTTTTCGACTTTAGCCAACTTGAGCCAAGGCAAGTCTTCGAAAACGAAACGGCACGTTTACATGTGATCGACATTTGACGCATAGTAGTTCACGTTTGGTCGTAGTTGGTCGGCTTCGGTGTCATTGCTTGACAACTCGAGCGAGTTAGAGGAACCAATTTTGGCTGCATGCGAGTGCAAAATTAAGGCCCCTATCAAGTAATGCTAGAGCGACATGTTTCGACAGACGATAGCAGTAGCAGCGAATCCGACTGACCGCCACCATCGCTTCCACCAGCCGCACGCATGAAGCAATTCTCCACAGAGCAGTAGGCTGACAGCATTTCGCGTGCCGCAGCGATCACATTCAAAAGCTCGTGTGCTTGTCCAACGCGCCTGACGCTACAGGAATCGAGCCACTGTGGAAACGCCGCGCGGCCGTGTGCATGCACAACTGCACCCTTTAAGGGACCCACAACTGATATTTATGGTACCCGTTCTCTTGAGTGCAATGAAAAGCTTACCTGTCAGAGCTTGTTTATGCAGTCTTAAATAGACGTGGTGCAAACAGTGGATGGGATGTGACAGCGATTATACACCAGTTTAACGCCAGCGTTGAGAAAAAGTGAAGCTCTAAGTACAAACGCGTAATATTGTATTTGTGAAGCCTGCAGTGCTGCAACCACTGCTTTCTAGTGTGCTAAATTACATTACAAGAGTTACAGCACTTTTCCGGGGCTTCTTGATCAAGTACTTCTGGCCATGCATGGGTAGTTTTTTCGACTTTAGCCAACTTGAGCCAAGGCAAGTCTTCGAAAACGAAACGGCACGTTTTACATGTGATCGACATTTGACGCATAGTAGTTCACGTTTGGTCGTAGTTGGTCGGACTTCGGTGTCATTGCTTGACAACTCGATGCGAGTTAGAGGAACCAATTTGGCTGCATGCGAGTGTGCAAAATTAAGGCCCCTATCAAGTAATGCTAGAGCGACATGTTTCGACAGACGATAGCAGTAGCAGCGAATCCGACTGACCGCCACCATCGCTTCCACCAGCCGCACGCATGAAGCAATTCTCCACAGAGCAGTAGGCTGACAGCATTTCGCGTGCCGCAGCGATCACATTCAAAAGCTCGTGTGCTTGTCCAACGCGCCTGACGCTACAGGAATCGAGCCACTGTGGAAACGCCGCGCGGCCGTGTGCATGCACAACTGCACCCTTTAAGGGACCCACAACTGATATTTATGGTACCCGTTCTCTTGAGTGCAATGAAAAGCTTACCTGTCAGAGCTTGTAATCGCGGAATGGTAAGGCGGAAAACACCGTAGAACATCTATAATCAGAAGTTTTCAATTAGTGGTGATTATGCAGTCTTAAATAGACGTGGTGCAAACAGTGGATGGGATCGTGACAGCGATTATACACCAGTTTAACGCCAGCGTTGAGAAAAAGTGAAGCTCTAAGTACAAACGCGTAATATTGTATTTGTGAAGCCTGCAGTGCTGCAACCACTGCTTTCTAGTGTGCTAAATTACATTACAAGAGTTACAGCACTTTTCCGGGGCTTCTTGATCAAGTACTTCTGGCCATGCATGGGTAGTTTTTTCGACTTTAGCCAACTTGAGCCAAGGCAAGTCTTCGAAAACGAAACGGCACGTTTACATGTGATCGACATTTGACGCATAGTAGTTCACGTTTGTCGTAGTTGGTCGGCTTCGGTGTCATTGCTTGACAACTCGAGCGAGTTAGAGGAACCAATTTTGGCTGCATGCGAGTGCAAAATTAAGGCCCCTATCAAGTAATCTAGAGCGACATGTTTCGACAGACGATAGCAGTAGCAGCGAATCCGACTGACTGACCCGCCACCATCGCGTCCACCAGCCGCACCATGAAGCAATTCTCCACAGAGCAGTAGGCTGACAGCATTTCGCGTGCCGCAGCGATCACATTCAAAAGCTCGTGTGCTTGTCCAACGCGCCTGACGCTACAGGAATCGAGCCACTGTGGAAACGCCGCGCGGCCGTGTGCATGCACAACTGCACCCTTTAAAGGGACCCACAACTGATATTTATGGTACCCGTTCTCTTGAGTGCAATGAAAAGCTTACCTGTTACAAGCCCTGCAGAAGCGTTACTCTATGCAGAGGCCACGAAAGCAGCGCCACTTTTTATGCTGTACTTTTTTTACCTTATAAACCACATAGAAACAAAGAAAAATGAACAATAACATATTCAAAATGTAAGCCCGTATTCTGGTGCGCTTTAAATAACCACAGCAAAGTTATTAAGACTTCATAATTGCGTTTCATGGCTCTGGTGCTAGGGGTGCAACATGCCGTTTTTGGTTACTTTTGAGCGCGATTTAAAAATATAAGTCCTACTCAGATCGCGAGAAGTATGCTGTCACCTGTCACTATAATATATGCTCTTTTATTTTACACCGGAATCTAATCGCTCGTTCAGGCCAGTTGTGGGTCCCTTTAAAGTTCATTGGGCTCTAAAATAATAGGTTGCCCATCCCCCCCACTCCCTTAAAAAAACTGCTTGCTCTTAATGTTTAGTCATTAGTTTATGTTGCGATTTTTTAAATGTTACTTCTAATTGAGCACTTTTAGTGCCACCATGGCCTTAAACAAGAGGGGTGCCCTTCAGTTATCTCGGGAACAAAGCAAGTTTCAAGAAAAGTAATTACACATTTGAAATGAGCAGGCAAAGCTCCCTAGACCAGCACAGGTTTATGTTACACATGCACTTGCACGCACACTCACTTACTTTCTGCATCAATTTCGACACTCTCCCCTTAAATGCTGGTAAATTTACTTCTCCTGTTCACTGCAGTGTCTTCGTAACTTAGACAACACAAAGTAAGGGCAGTGATGAGTTACTTGTTTTGGGTAGTTTACATCGTCTGTCTTTGTATTGCTGCCACTGCGCAGTGTGATGCGTTCGGGCATCACGCTCTGGGCCCCGGAGTCTTTCTTCACAGGATATTTGCAGTTTAAAGTGCAGATAAAAATAAACTCGATATCGTCTCGCCGAACTCAACTTAACGACACATTATAAATTATTTTTGAAGGGAAAAACTGGAAAAGGCTCACATTATATCAGTTAAGTCTGAATACAGTAGTGCTAGGTGCTTTTCTAACGTGAAAATTTAGTAAGCAAAAACGTGTATTTGTACAAATAGGGCATACATGTTGTGGGAATTTGCTTACTGAAGTTTGCGTGGTATTCGTACCTTTTTCAGGAGCAAATGTTTTCAGAGAAGGAAATGTCGCAGGCGCTCAAGTACCAGGAGCTGATGTTTCAAGAGCGCCTTCTTAAAAAGGACCAAGAATGTGTTCGGCAGCTGGAATCTGTTAGACAAGAAATGGAGAGCTACCGTAGCAAGCTTGAAGACAGCCAGAAATTTTTCAAAATGCAAGAAAAGGCTCTGCAGAGCCTTAGTAGGTAAGGCTGTTCTGGCAGAACGAGTACTTGGCATCTTTTTTTTCTTCTCTAATTTGAGGTAATTATAGGGTCATCCATGCCAAACATTCCAGACATAGTGCTGAACCCTCCGATTCGGTTTCAGAAAATTGTGGGAAATCATTTTAATGCTCTATTTGCCTTCCTACAGTATTTTTGCAGGAATTGTTTTTTATTTTCAGGAGAGATTGAGATGTTGCAGACGTAGGCCGGCGAAATGGGTTGTTGGGGGAAAAAAAAAGTACAAAAAAAAAAACTCTATACTAAATGCAGCGCATTAAATCTCTGGTGGTAGCTAGAAAAGAAGTATCACCGTATATATTCTAATCAGCATCCCTTACTTTAACTCGTGATAAGCTTTGTGGTGCATAAGTACAGCAATTTTTTGCCTGTTTTAATGATTTTTAGAAAAATTTACAAAGCCTGTGTACACAATATAATTATTTCTTAAGGCTGGCCAGTCATTATGACCTTGTCAAAGTACAGAGGCAGATGAGACTAGTTTTGAAGGAGGCACAAACGCAGAAAATGTGGGAAATGGCAGATTTTCATACAGATTAGTTATGTGGTCTAAGTAAAAAGCAGGCTGGCACTTGCGGGAAAAAGTGATCAAAGGTCATTTATTTGTGAAAGTGTAGTGGCAGATTTAAGCGAGGAAAATATTTTCACATTGAGCATCTGCGGCAACCTCAGGTGCCAGCCAGCAAGTGCACTTTTGTGCGCCATGCAATTCCTTGGGGTCAACAGAAAAATTATTACAGAAAAACAGAAAAAGATTAAGGTAGTGTGCTGCTTTGTGTTTTCTCACATTTTTACACATTTCGCTTCTCAGTAGAGGTGAAATTTGTTTTGGGGATCGTGGCCTGACAAACTGCATAGCATTCTGTCAGGCACATGATCCTGATTCGTGTCAGGTGCAAAAAACGAATCGGGATCGTGTCATGTACCACTCCTGATCTTGATTCAGAAAGTACACTGCTTCGTTGTTGTACTTTCCGCAAAGAACCTGTGTATCTGAAAGCGGTAAATATCTGAAATATTGGTGCCACTTAATTATTACAGCTTTTTAAGCCATGGCATGCACTCCTTTAAGAAGAATCTACCGTGAAATAGATGCAAGGAGGCAGTATTGCTTATCTAAGGGTCACCAACATGATAGATATCCAAGGGTCGCCAACATGATAGATGAAACTATTGGAAGAGTGTGTGCCTTTGCTTGTGCACCTGAAGCTTTCGCTTGTCAAGATGAGAATCAACATTATTAAAGTTCTTTCGTTTGTTCATTTAAAAATTAATGACTAAGTTGTCGTGTAACTTCTTGTTCAAGGGATGTGCTGTTTGTCATAAAGATGACAAGCATAATCATATATTCTTTGCTTGGCAGTTCCAAATGGTTAAAAAAAACGTCGCTTGAATATAAAGGTATGACACAATTATCTAGTCATTTAGGAAACAAACAAATGAAAAACAGTTAAAATTATTGATGTTTACGTTCACGTGTGAAAGGTTCAGTTCAGTTCAGCAAACGCTCTGCTCTGGCATCTCTGACAATCGTATTGCGATTTTGGGGTGTTAAATCCCAACCTTATCAGTTTTGCTTAAGATGCATTACTAGGCATTTGGCCTGACCTTGTTCATTCACTTTTAAAATGTTGTGTATTATAAAAACAATTGTTCGAACTTCCTTTTCATGAGCCTAGCAGGTGCACAGGCAAGACCACTTTAACATTTAGTCATCATTTTAGCCATCCTTGGATAAGCAATTGTAGTCCTGCCTCCATTTCAAGCTAGAACATTCGTAAAAGGCCCGCAGTTACAGAGAACAGCTTATGTGGTCTTTATACTCTTGCCATCGACTCTGCTTGGGATGTCTTCAGAACCTTAATAGGGTGGTGGCACACGTATTTTAGATATTTACTAACTTGTTGTACAGGCTCTCCACAGAAAGTATGACAGTGAAGCAGTGTACGCAGCATTCAAAATGCTTGTTACATGTTTCCGATTGATGCAACAGGGAGCCAACCAGCGAAGGCCACGCGCTCTGTTCAGAACATGATCCCCAAAACAAATTTTCTTGTATGCCCCCCCCTCCCCCCGCATAGCTTTCAGCGTGCTCACTGCCATCACAGACTCCGCTCGTACGTGAGATTCCAAAAATTTTTGCGGCGGTCGATTCGTGAGGCACTGAGCTGATCTAATGAATCCATTCGATCATTACTAGGCGAAAGTACTATTGCAGGTCCCTTTAAACCGAATACTACTGCATCGCACTATATTCAAACAGTGTTGAACAGGTGAGTTTCAAATGTCATCATGTGTAACTTTCCTTCCTGTGTACTACAAATCATGCTAAGGAAGTGCACCATTTAAATTGGATAGGTCCCCGCCTCGGCGACTGCATTTTATATGGAAACAAAAATGCTTGAAGTCCTTGTGCCTCTGTTCAGATGAATGTTAAGAACCCTTGGTGGACAAAATTTCCAGACCCCTTCTGCTCTGACATCTCTAACAATTTTGATTTTGGAGCACTAAATCCCAACCTTATCAGTTTTGCTTAAGATGCATTACTAGGCATTTGGCCTGACCTTGTTCGTTCATTTATAAATGTTGTGTAGTGTAAAAACAATTGTTGGAACTTCTTCTTGACCAGCCTAGCAGGTGCACAGGCAAGACCACTTCAGCATTTTGTAACCAGCCAAAATCGCCATTACTCCTCGCGAGCTGCTTGAGGGCATGAAGCCAGCTATTATTCTTCATTGATATTCTATTAAAAGATCATTTGTTAAGGACATGCAGTCTTTTGTCCTGTAAGACAACCTGGTAGCCATCAACCACATAATGATATATATATATATATATATCTCGCTTCTCAGTACAAACTTGAAAGGATACACCAACCAAAAGAACACAGTTTATTGACATTTCGGCACCTCATGCGGGAGCCTTGTTCACAATAAAAGCCAAAAGAAAGGAACAGCCTATTTAAAGGGACACTATCCCTAAAACATCATTCTCGCCACGACACGGCGTTTGGTAAACTAGAAAGCGCACAAAAAGAAAATGCAAGTGGAGACTTCACCTTCAGATTTCTGTACCAAACTCTGTGACATCGTAAATTTTGAAGGCAGCTACTGGGTCGTACATAACTTCTACTTCATAAAAATGAATTGCGTTGTCATCTGTAGGTGCCATAAATCTAGCATACGAAGTTCCAAAAAATTTTCTCGGGCCAATGCCACGAAAATACAAAAAAATGCATTTTGGAATATCTATTCACGTGAGAAGATTTTGGGGCAAAAAAAAAATTTAAAAGTGAAACTTCAATCTTTATTTTCTCCTTGTGATAGTGAAAGTAAGGCATTAGAGTTCTCAGAGTGCAGTTTGTCAATCTAAAGCAAGTTACTGTTTTTTTTGTGTCCCTCTAAGTACGCGACATAAGCCCCGAGTACATTGTCGGAAGCATCCCGTCATTCCTTTTCAGCAAATGGGTAGTTGTCTGTATGTGCAGGGATTCCAGGTGCAGACATGAGACTAACTTCCTTTCTGTTCAGAAGATGTGTGCTTGGCCAGTACATTTGATGGCTTATAGATTTCACATGGTCAGCGAGGACATTAAAGGCCACGTATCGTTTCTTGACATGTTCATGTTGTTTAACTCTTGAAATTACTGGTTTCACCGTCCTACTGGTTGTCACAATCGTGGGAGCCTATGATGTAAACCAGACCGGGGAAATTTCCGCTCGGCAACTTGTCTTTCGCGTTCTTAGCTTTCATATTGGGGCATCAACTATTTGGATGTCGGTTGCTTCTACATATCAATGAGCATCACAGCATTACTCAGGTAGGTAAATTTGTGCATGTTTGTTTTGGCCACGATTTCGTATTGGCTTGAAGGTCTTCTGGTTTTGCTAGAACTGCCATCAGCAGAGGCTTATCAGGCAGGGTATGTCATGCCTTTTATTGTTATTATTATTACTGTTTTTATTATTGGCGATGCAACGGCAAACGTCCTCTGCTACGCATTTATTGCTGGTAGCTCGCGTTTCAAGGGTAGCATCGGATAACTTCAGCTAAATTTCTTATTTGAGTTCGAGACTGTTCTCAAATCTGATTATTTTTAGCATCACGTTCATATAAGAGTATGTGAACGAAGGCTACACGCTGGCATTCGCGATTCGTCTATAAAATTGAGGTAGCTGTTCCGGCGTGACAGATTTCTTGGCATCATATTTTTTCAAAAGTCAGCTCTCTAAATGCTATTCCCAGTTTTTATTACAGGCATCTGAGAACTTTTATTGTGCTCCAAATGTCAGTCCAGAGAAATAAAACACCAACATGCATGTGCTCGTCGTGGGGGAAAAAAATATTTTGCAGTACGGCTTTGTTACTGCGACATTGTCATTAGTCGTTGTCAAGGCAAGAGGCGCAGAATAAGAGAGTAGTAGTTATTCTTTTCTGCAGAAAAGTATATTTTAGAGGCGTGCAACTTAGGCATAAATTGAGGATGACGCAGCCAGCAATGAAAAGAAAAATGGTAGGTGTAACCTTGAGAGACAAGAGGGCAGAATGGATTAGGGAACAAACGGGGGTTCAAGAAGAGGAAATTGACATAGGCCGGGCATGTAGCATGTAGATAGGATAACCGCTGGTCATTAAGGGTTACTAATTGGATTCTCAGAGAAGGCAAGCGAGTTAAGCGGAGACCGAAGATTAGGTGAGCAGATGAGATTAAGAAGTTTGCGGGTGTAAATTGGCAACAGCAAGCTCAGGACCGAGCTAACAGGCGGAACATGGGAGAGGCCTTTGTCCGGCAGGGGACGTAGTCAGGCTGATGATGATGATGAACTTAGGTGGGGATGCAAATCAAAAGTGAATACAGTAGTTCATGTCAATGTTATTTGATCTAATCCAATCCAATCCACATCTTGAGCGGCCTGGGCTGTAGCCATTGTATAGAACTAGAGTATACTCCAGTGATCGAACTGGTCGCGCTCCTGCGTCCTCCTTTTACATGAATGCCGCGAGAAGGCGCCATTGCTACGGTTCGTAGCAGTTTGGCTGTGTTGTCGGGCTATCACAGGCTCATTCAAACTATCAGCTGTAGTTAATTTCAACTTGAGAGTCTGCTTCCTGGTTCTTTCGAACATCATACAGCCAACTTGCTCACTGTCCGGCTCATATTTTTAATTTTGGCCAGATGTACTTTTTCATATATACCGCACACGCTCGGAACATTCCGAGCACATGAAGTAAGTATGTTTACCTATTCTATATGAATGCCTTATTAAAAAAAATTTTTTTCACTTGGTTCTTCCTGTGCAGTTTTCCAAGCAGACATGGCAGTCATGGAATTTGCTTTTAATCATCATGGAAAACGTGGAAAAGTCAGGGAATTTGAAAAAAATCAAAATGGGAGACACCCTGATAATGTATTCGCAGGGTGTCTGCCAACCTGGAAAAGTCGGGGAATTCGGACCCTCCTAAAAAGTCATGAAAAACCTGGCCAGGTCATGGAAACTGACAGCAGTTTTGTGTGGTTGTCACAAAAATAATCATTACCATTGATCAAAGCTTAAAAAGTTGCTCGTCAAACTGCAACTGCATAAAGAACCCCAGGTGGTCGAAATTTCCGGAGCCTTCCACTACGGCGTCTCTCATAATGACATGGTGGTTTTGGCACGTTAAGCCCCACATATCAAACTGCAACTGCAATGAGCTGCTAGAAGTAGTGTAAAAAAAAGGGGGGCGGGCGCAGTGCATAACTTTTACTTCTTAATGTAAACGCGAAAGGATACACCGACCCATAAAACAGTTTAGTGACGTTTCAGCACTTGATATGGGAGGGAGCCTTGTTCACAATTAAAACCTTAAGATTATGTACGCCTAAATACATTACGCAAGGAGCGAGAGTATTGTCAGAAGCGCCCGATCACGCCTCCTGTTCAGCGTATGTACAGTCGTCTGTATCTGGATACCACATGCAGGCATGATGCAAGCTTGGCTTGATACATTAGCTAAAGCATTCCTTAGCTTCCTCATTGGTACATGCACTATTTTGATGTGTGTTGCTTCTGCATATCGCATGGCATATATGACTTTCGAACCAAAACATTACTCGCGTCTGTGCCCCGCCGCGGTGGTCTAGTGGCTAAGGTACTCGGCTGGCTGCTGACCCGCAGGTCGCGGGTTCGAATCCCGGCTGCGGCTGCTGCATTTCCGATGGAAGCGGAAATGTTGTAGGCCCGTGTACTCAGATTTGGGTGCACGTTAAAGAACCCCAGGCGGTCGAAATTTCCGGAGCCCTCCACTACGGCGTCTCTCATAATCATATAGTGGTTTTGGGACGTTAAACCCCACAAATCTATCATCATTACTCACGTCTGTAAATTCTTGTTTGTTTAGGCCATGATTTCGGCTTTGTTTGAAGGCCATCTGGTTTGTCTAGGCTAGAACTGCTATCAGCAGAAGCTTTGCCAGACCACTCATGCTTTTTATTATTGTGATTGGTATTATTAATATTAATGATGCTGCAACTGCAAACACCCTCAGCTATACACTTATTGCTGGTAGCTCGTGTTTCAAGGGTAACATTTGTGTAACTTCAGCTAAATTTCTCTTTTCAGTTTTGTCAGGTTATGTAAATAAATCTGCAAATATTTTTTAGATTGATTTTGATTGATTGATATGTGGGGTTTAACGTCCCAAAACCACCATATGATTATGAGAGACGCCGTAGTGGAGGGCTCCGGAAATTTAGACCACCTGGGGTTCTTTAACGTGCACCCAAATCTGAGCACACGGGCCTACAACATTTCCGCCTCCATCGGAAATGCAGCCGCCGCAGCCGGGCAAATATTTTTTTTTTTTTAGTGTAGCATCCACAGAAGAGTACGTAAATCAAGGTAACGTGCAGACATCCATGATTCGTCTGTGGAATCAAGGTAGCTGTTGTGCCTTGACTGATACTTCTTGCCACCACATATCCAAACGCCGGCACTTTAAACGCTGTCCCCAGCTTCATTGCAGCCGTTCTAGGGCTTCCGTTGCACCTCAAGCGTCGGAGTTCAAAGACATAAAATACAAACATGCATGTGCTCGTCAGAAAAAAAAGGAAGAATATTTTGCAGTACGGAGACATAAAATACAAACATGCATGTGCTCGTCAGAAAAAAAAGAAAGAATATTTTGCAGTACGGCTCTGTTCTTGCAACGTTGTCGTTACTCGTTGTCAAGGCAAGGTACACAGAGTACGCGAGTAGTAGTTATTCTTTTTTTTTTTGCTGAATAGTATACTTAAGAGATGCGCAAATTAGGTGGGGACGCAAATCAATAGTAAATGCAGCAATCTAGGTCGAATGAGATCTAATCCAATCCGTATCCTAAATAGTGGAGTCAGTAAATGGAGTAGTTCAGGTCAACCTAATTCAATTCAATCCACATCCTAAGTGGTGTGGGCTACAGCCATTATAGTAAACTAGATTATACTACAGTGGCAGAACTGGCCAGGCTCCCGTGTCATTTTGCATGAATGCTGCAAGATGGCACTACTTCTACATTTCTAGCAGCATTGACTGCGATGTGGGACTATCGTAGGCTCCTTCAAACTTTCATCTGTGGTAACTTTTAACTGGTTAATATGGAAACTGGTTAATATGATAACTGGTTAATATGAATACTTATTTTATATAGAGAGCCCATTTTTTTTCCCACTCGAGGATTTGTTTCCAGTGCAGTTTTCCAAGCAGACGTAGTGGTTATGGAATTCGCTTTTAATCATCATCATTGAAGACCTGGAAAAGTCGGGGAATTTAGAAATGTCAAATTGGTAGACACCCTGATTCAAAAAGTTCATGCACATGGTGTTGAAGGCCCACTAACATAGAGCAAACTACCCTGTGAACTTACAGTGGTGAGAACAAGCGCGCGTGGGTGTCGGCAGGGCTGTGTAAAGGGGGTGCTTGCCTCCCCTCTGCTACAATCATGATGCAATGCAGGTTTACACCCCCAAGGCAAAGTCGTGCCAACAAAAGCATGCCTTAGTCATGCTTCACACAGATCCAGTAAATGTAGTTCAGTTTTGGTGTACTTATAACTTTCTTGCCTTTCAACTTCTGAGCAGGAATTTATTTTTCTTTACAATGTTTGAGAGGCACGTGTATTTGGCAGGGACAATGAAAACATGTTGGAAGCCATGCGATCGTTCACCAAGGATGCCGAGGAAAAGTTTGCTGAGCAAGAAGACGACATGCAGAAGGTTGTGAAGGAGCGTGACCAGGTGAGCCCCACGTGGTGGATTTTTGCACGTTGTGCAAATGTTGAAAAGCTGTCAATGTATTTCACATCTTAACAAATATAGAGCATCTTCAATGCTTGTCTAGAATTCGTAAGGGGGCCATTTGATTAAAATTTGTTTGATTAACATTTGATTAACTACTCCAAAGAAGCTGGGAAACATATCTGACAAAAAATAATAGATCCATGCCAATGCAATGGCTCTCTGGGCAACATAAAATAGCAGTAATCAGATTTTTTCTACTCTCCAGGCACCACGAAATTGTCAAAAAAAAAAAAAATTGGGCACTCGGAAAAAATGAATTCATGCTTTTTATTTCATTCAAGCTGTCAAAGTACCATAGTTGCATACCAAATAGCTCTGGAGGCCTGCCAGTACATACAGTATTTACTCGCATAATGGAAAAAAAAAGTTGTAGCTTGGCCTTTTGCAATTGACATGTTTGGAAACGGCTTTTTTGTTGCATCTCAGTAATCTTTGGTTGTTGAAGGCGCTATCTTCTGCAAGTTGTCCCTGCACCGCTCGTGTACTCCATTAAAGTGTTTCGCTGCTTTTTCTCGCCATCGTTTAACTGCAACAGTGGTATCTGCTGTGATCTCGGGGGTGAGTTTATAAGTGGTATTCACCTCCGCACAGCATGGCGGTAATGCGGAGAAGGCACTGCTTCCGACTGCCATGAGTAGGGCCATGTACCTTGTGTGTGCCTCTGCGTGATACTAAAGTTGCGCCGTTTTTTGCGCCGACCATCTATTATCGCGTTTGATTGTGCCGTATTTGTGTGCAGCTGTCACACGAAGTGGAAAGGTGACGAGACTGAAAGCGGAAAACTGGTTAAATTTTATTCCTTTTGCCGAACGTTATTCGTGGCCAATGTAGCCGTACACTAGAGGTTGCGGCAAAGCGTCATGGCGAGTGATTCGACCGTTTTGGCCAGGCTGATTTTAGCAAGGCTCTGGGATGAGTGCTTGTGAGTGGATCACCTGCGAATGAAAACTCAGCGGAATTCATATTCTGACAGCTTTGAGTAATTCAGGTGCGAACGAAACATTAAAATATAGAAAATCACATAGCGAATGCAGTCAGTTTCAATGCTCTGTCAGAGACAGCTGTGAAAATCGCAACACAGCAGAGTGCGAAACATTGGACTATATATAATAACTCATGTGCGGTACACTGCGAGCTTAAACGAGAGGCACACACTTTTGTTTTTCTCGCTAAAGTGACCTGGCTCAGTACACTTGCGTCAAAGCAGAGGTGGCTTGTAACCTTGGTCTAGTGTATAATTTAACCCTCAGATACTTTTCATTCGAATGATCAAAGCTGTGGGTGAGCCAACCACATCAAAATGTGTCTAGTGGGCACTCTACTACAATCATATGTGCCCCGTTCAATGGTGTTTTCACATGAAGTTCGTAAGCGCTGTTAAGCCCGCAGCTTCAACTAAATTTGTAAAATATTGCACTATTATCAAATAATCAGTAAACTCTACTTTAGCGTTTACAGATGGAATATAACTTCAGATTATCTTTGCATGCACAGCAACAGTCACTGTGACTTTTCAGTGAGGGCTTGTGGACAAACCCACTAGTCAAGTATCGAACGATTTCTTGACTTTGAGTTGTTTGTGCGTGACAAAACTTATTGTTTATGCACCAAACATGTCTCGGAGTTCTACCTTCGAAACAAGTCCGGTGTCAAATGCAGCCTCCAAGCTCATCAGAATGAGTGGGTCAACACACTCTGCAGAGAGGCACTTTGTCCGTGTAACGCTGTTTAGCATCGGCGTCCAATTTCTCGACTTACACGCTCAAGTGAACCGAGCATGCATCGCCCACGGCTGTAGCAGCTTCACAAATAATAAATCTCGTACCATATAAAGCCAAATAAAATTAAAACAAGAGCAACTTACCCGCAGTACCTTGTGTGCACCTGTCAACCGCCGGACTGTACTGCCGGTATGCTGCCGGTAAGGTGGCCTTCAAGATGGTGGCCACACAGTTTCCAGCACAGCTGGCGCACTTTTTGTTGCTATGCCCGCCAAGCTGACGTCTAGTGAATACAACCTATTACGCAGGAGAAAGAAAAATTCTGATTTTGCTGACTGAAGTTTATTATGCGAGTGTGTTAATTACGCTAGTAAATACGAGTAAATCGGGCATTCTGGGCTTGTGCAGCCTCTCGATATGTTCATCACCTAATAAGAATGCTTTTATATATGTGCCAACATTTGCACATGGTAATGAGTATAGCTGATGCCAGCAAAGCTTGAAAAAAATACAGCTGTCTCGTGAGTAACTGTTCCAAGCAGCATTTTGAAACTACTGAAAAATACCGAACAAGCACCTCCACCCAATCAAGTGCTTCCTCCCTTTTTCTGGAGTTTGAAAATTAAGGCTTATTATTAGTGCCGATGATCAGCTTACTGTGCAAGAAAAACAAGGACACGGACCAGGGATGCGGTGACTAGAGGCCGGATTTTTAGGCACTGAAGAAAGTGTTTTAGGTGCCAAAGACAGGCAGGTAAAACACTGTTTTAGGCCCTCAAAATCAAAATTATAGGCACAATAAACTTTTACAAAAATTGAAATATTTCAATACGACACCGGTGACTTGTATCTACGGCAAGAAGCAAAAAAATTATATTGTTTTAGACTGCAGAAAGGTACCAATGATTGAACATAAACATGCATTTCCCGTGCAATTTGCAGTATGTGGTCTTTCGTTTTCGTGTCTAACATTGAGTCAAGTGTCCACCATTCAATTAACACCCTCCTGGGCCTCTTTCGTTTCGTTGTGGCTGGGAAGGGCAGCGCAGGAGCAAATAAACAGACCACTGATACCCCACAAGAGAGGGATGCTAGGTCTAATCGCATAGCGCCAATTTTTCCCCTATTGGTGAACACCTTAAAGGGTGCCTCACTAGGTTTGGGAATTTCGAGCTGACAAACTCAATTGTGCACTGGGCACTCCGGATCATTCCTGTTCAGATTTGCAAAATACATGTCGTAGAAAAATGCTCAATTTCCAACGAATGCCTTGTCCTTCTCGCGGGCGTGTGCCCCAATATCTAAGGAGTGACATACAGCAAGGAACGCCGCTCCTTTACGTTCAAATTGGTGGGCTGACGTCGCATACCATACGCTCTTCATTAAAACTTTGTTAAATGCTAGCTATATCTAGAAAAACTGACAAAAAATGTCCCATCTCCTGATTATATCCTGCATTTCGAACAATACCTCATTAAGAGCGTTGCACGTGACATTACTTGGCATGTGCAATTTGTGTGTTCTGTTGTGTAGCATGAATGAGGAGTACTTTGGTTTGGGCTGACTGCTTCATATTTTGAAAGGGAAGCACAAAGGGAAAAGAAAGACTGCACTCTTTGCTCTGTTTCTCATTTCCCTGTGTCTTTGCACTGCCCATTTAAAATCGGTATAATGAATAAAAGCTGAGAAAAATAATAAAACATGCAAATGGAATCTCAGCTTGTTATTTTTATTTCTGTTTTGAATAGCCTCGAGGTGCTACTCACTAATTGGCCCTCATTTCGCATCCGCCTTAGTGGACCAGTCGCATGGGTGCTCTGCTGCTGACCCGAATGCCGCAGGTTCGATTGTGGTCGCGGTGGTCACATCTAGATGGAGGCGAAAAAGTAGATGCCCGTGTACTGCACGATGTCAGTGCGCGTTAAAGAACACCAGATGGTCAAAATTTGCGAAGACCTCCACTATGGCATTCCTGATGTTCATATTGCGGTTTTTCTTCGCAAAACTTCACATACTACCACTGCTACTACTACTACTACTACTACTACTACTACTACTACTACTACTACTACTACTACTACTACTACTACTACTACTACTACTACTACTTTGACTACAACTACTACTATTGCCCATTTCACTTGCGTTAGTCTTCTCATCGTTAATGCATCGGGCCTTCGCCAACCCTGACAACGCTTAGCTTGAGTTTGGTGTGTCGTCTCTGACCGCAGTTTCAATTGAGCGACGTGATGTATCGCGGTCGCAATACATGATTTTTGCCAGGTTCTCCACACGCACTGACTGATCCATCCCACAGAAACTGGTAATACACAACAGAGAATGCCGAAATGACACATCGATGGCGTACGTGCACAAGTAGGCTGGGGCACGTCATGCGTGCGTGACCTTGCTTACGCATGTTTTTCTTCGTGCGTATGCGTCATGCGATTCTCCAGCCCCGATATTGAAGAGAACAGGGAAGGAGTGAGGCTCGCGATGGCTACACCGGACGAGTGGCAAGAGATTCAAGCTGGCTCCTTCGCATCATGCTTTGGTGGCTCGTAGCGAACCAATTTGAAAAATCACTGCGATAGAACGCTTTTCATAGGGCACGCAAGAACTTCTAGTGTCTAACTACAACTTATGTCACCTAGAGAGGGTGGTTAAATAGTAAAAAACAAACAAAACAAAAGCCACATGCACAACACATTTTTCACTTGAAGACGCTGACGCAGATGGGTTATGTCAAAGAAAACATGCTTTGATTGCAGAAAGGTTTCTTGAAGGGCTAGTTGGTATATAATACTGTAACGCTTTTATTGGCACAACACACTTTGTTCTCTCTATAAGCCATTTCATTTTGTCATGAAACTAACAAACATGAATAATAGAAAAATTATAACTGATACAACATTCTGAATTCTTAATTACCATTGCGCAAAGAGGACTGTTTAGGAACATTATTTTCGAATGAGAGTTTTAGCATGAAAAGCTTGACATCGCAAGTTAATCACAGTTCGATTTGACGCGATGATAGTAATTTCTATACTACTTCATTTTTCATAATGCTACAGCTGTCATTTGTAAGTAAAGGCTTAAGACAAACCTTGAAGCCCTGTTCTGAATTTTTTTCATGTTTGTCACTTAAAGATGTATGGCAAGGGATCTCGTACAGAACAAGCGTATTCAAGCATATGGTGAATGTATGCTAAGTAC